GGTCTTGAAAAAATGAGCTGACATGCCAGCGCTGCAGTCTGCTTCCAGCACATTTCCTGCATGTTTTAGATTGTGAACACAGCAGTTTTGTTTAATTTAGTGCTGAGTCGATTCTGTAGACACTAATGAAGGCTGGGGAGACATTTCAACAGTTAGATTAAGATGTGAAAAAGACAAACACACAGCGAGAAAATACGTTTGACTTTTGGTACTACTAAACGGAGACTAGGGGGTTCTAAAAGCAAGCGAAAACTACCAAGTGGAGGAAGGTCTGAGCACTAAAACTGATCAAAGGTTTGGCAGATGGGATGTGATTTCATTCAAGTTTTGCTTCACAAAATTACTTTTACATTGAACAAGTTCACATTTATTGACATGGCTTTCTTTTTTAACTTTAGACTTTTAACTGATATGCAAACATTTGAGCCCAATCTGCCTGTTGCTTTGATGTCTGAACCTACATGCTAATATACAGTTTTGTTTTGTTTTTAATGCAAGCATACCAACTCTACGCTTTTGTGTGCATGGGGCTGCTTGTTTTTGCAGAAAAATGTCACATTATGAGCAGGCATTACAAATTCCACCAGTATCTCCTGTACACTGGCCCTCTATCATTCCTCAAAGGATTAGAGACAAAAATGGAAAAAGAGAGAGGAAAATCTTGGGGAAAAATAGTTTCTCTGGTATTTGGAGCACCTAATAGGACCCTCCTTTTAATTATATTAAAATAAATGAAGTTTAGAATAGAATTAGAATAAGGCACTCTGCACGTCATCTGCTCACAAGGAGGTGCTCTGCAGCTGGTGGACAACCAAAATACAAAGCAGAAGGGTTGGTGCACTCAGGTAAGTAAAAACTGTTTTATTGGATGTAAAAAAATAAATAAATTAAGGTTTTGGCACCATGTGTATCATTATCATGTTGCTTGTCTCTGATAAAGACACATTTTGTGTTGAAAGGTTAGTTTCTTCTTGCATCCAATAAAATGTACTCACTTGAGTGCTCCAACCCTTTCTACTTCGATATGTAGTGGGTTTATATATATATATATATATATATATATATATATATATATAAACCACACAGTCAACACCACCTAGTGGTGTTTATACTGAACATATTTCTCTTTCAGAAAGGAATGGGACACCAGCAACTGTTTATCTCCACTGACTCGTTTCACCCCAAATTACAGTAAACGAGATGCTTGAAGTCAGTTTTAGAATATGACTCATTTGAATGCTACAAACAGTATGGATGGTGTTTGTGGCACATGCTGGGGAGCAGTTATGGATGATGTTATTGAGTCTCAACACCCCTCCGCCTGGCATCTGCAAAGCGTGATCACACTTGCTCTCACAGAGCATGTGTTTACTCAGATGAAGGAAATTATGTAATTAGCCTGTGAGGAATTGTTTTCTTTCACTCTTTACCCCATGATCCACCTTTACCCCTCTATGTTGCCTTCTCTTTTTTTTCTTGCACTGGCTCTTTCTTTTCGCAGCCATACAGCAGCAGGAGATGATTCCCATTTAACCTTCGCCACTCTTTTCCTCACCTCTGTCATTAATTGCCATTGGTTCAAGAAAGCCGGTGCTTGGGCCCATTTTAGTTGCTGAAGAGCAGCTTTGTTAAACTTCAAAGGCATAGCTTTTGAGAGGTAGATTTACAGATGGACATGGAAACCGTGTGTGTGTGTTGGGGGGGGTGGGGGGGGGGGGGGTTGCATCAGGCTTATTTAGGTTTGCTTGTGTGCAGGGGAGATGGGTCCAGGGGTACACACACAGGCAGAAAAGATTTGAAGGGTGGAGAAGAGGGGGGTGTGGACCTGGCATTATGCTCTCTAATTCCAGCCGGCCTGGAGGCCCGGAGCGCTAAGAAGGGCCTCACTGTTGCTCTCTGAATCAGCCAGGTATTGCTTACATAAAAAGCAAGTGAAAACAGCTGTAGGGATAATTAGCTTGATTCTCCATTACATGCCATGAGGGCCAATAACTAAAAAAATGGAGTTTTGTTTGGGTTAGAGCTGCAGCCTCAGCCAGGAGGAAGTTGTAAAAGTCAGGCAAAGAAAAGAAAAGAGAATGAGGGAAAAATTTTTAGACATTGAGAGATGAAGGAATGAGCTTTTAGATCAATTTTATGCAGATGAGGTATTTGCTGTTCCTGAGTTGGCCGAAATAGAACCACAGAGAAATTGTATCCTCTTTAATTATTTAATGATTTAAAATTTATCATTAGCTGCAGCATCGATTGTAGATGTTTTTCAGGTACACAAAAGAGTCGTCATTTGTTATGGGGTTACTTTTTCCTGCAATGTGTTTCTAATATAATCTAAAAAAAACAAATACAGTATATGTTCAGCAAAAAACAATAAACAATTAGCATAATAAATACTGGCTCACATGGTAGCTTCGTTTTTTTCTTTGCATACTCATTTTACTAAATGACAGACTGACCAGAGGAAGCTTTCTAAATGTTAATATTGGTGCACACTGAAAATCTACAAAAAAAAAAAAAAAAAAAAGCAAGGGGCAATTTATATATGCTGTTTATTTGATATTAAAGAAAACAGGTGCAATTTTAGAAAACTGAATAGTTTTTCTATCTTTATATGAAAAATAGAGTTTGCCTTCTCTGAGGGAGGGATGGGAGGGGTACCAGGAGTACCGGGTCAGAGGGAAGTTTCTCTAAGAATGTTTAACAGAGACCCACGGTTGTAATATTACAACATCAGATTTAAGTCTACAAAAATAAACCTTTCCCATTTTTTTTCTTTTTAAAACCACATTTACATTGCTAATAGGTCCTATTGTTCAGTTCTGCAACACTATTGGCTGTTAAAATGTGTAAATAGGCCCGTTTATCTGGCCTCCTAGAACAACATGTGAAAGGTTAAAAAAAGATTTTGCAGTTGTTTTCTAAATTTGGGTTTCTGGGGGTTAAAGGTGTGGTTCACTGAAGACCCAAGTTTGTAATGTCCGTTCTGATTATAATCACTCCCTCTGAGTTTTTCATGCGAGCTGAACATGAAAATTGTCTCCTACACCTTTCTCCAGCATTAGCTTCTGATAGAAAATAGACGGTGAAAATCTAGGATATGAAAATCCTCACAGATTTATGTCACACTGTGAATTAGCGTTCATGGATTCACAACGGGAAAGGCCGTTGTCGTTTTAGAGTCCGAGAATCAGTAGAAGACGTCTTGGCTAGTTTAAGCTAACAATTAGCATTAGCTACACCACCACACAGCAGAAGCTCCTCCAGGCTTGTGTTATTTGAGACAAAACATCCAAGTCAGTGGTAGAGTTGCATTGTTGTTATCCAATCCAAGGCGAGATGGACAAATATTTGGAAATAAGACTCCACAGCCTTCCGTGTGAAGTTCAGCTTTGATGTGGGTGACTTTTAGTTTGGAGAAATTGTGCACATTTATATTTTTTCAGTAGCTACTTTATAAAAAGAGTCATGATTGGAAATAAAAGGTTGACTAACGTAGACTAGACATTCCGTTACAGAATCACATCATGTCAATACATTTGAGTCCATTACAGAAACAGTGAAAGTGTCCCAACAGGAAGCTACAAATGATTTGAAGTTCCCCATCATGCACTTCAGTGGCGCTTCCTTTAGCAGCCAATGGTGCAGAAAATTGTAGAGAGTGATCCTTGGTCTACAAAGACCTTCAGGACCTCTCACTGTCATCTGAGCTGACCGGGTTTTCCAGCACGGCCTCGTTGCTTTTCCATCTGATATAAGAAGCTTCCCTTTGCCAAACTAATCTGAAAGAAGGTCGTCACCATCACAGCCACAGATTTCACAGGTTAAACTCTGGATCATAAAAATTTCATAAGATTTTAACACTCTGTCACAACATGTTGACATGTTAAATAATCACAGGTTGGTAAGCGTACTCACACTGGCGACCGCATAGCAACACACTTCCTCACAAACAACACGGACGCAGGCGTCACATGTGAGTTTGTGTAGTGAATGCATCTGTTGTGTGGAGGTAGTGAGGTGCTGACAGAAAAGAAAGAGGAGCGGTCTTCAAACATCCACAGGCAGGTCATGCTCTCCGTTATGCCCAGTCAGGGGCCACATTTGTTTATTCTTGGGGCCCTGAATCATTAATTTAAGTGTAGTCAACGGCGGCGAAACCTGAGAATGGTTTCCAACACACATTCACAAGTTCACAAACACACACACACGTGTGTACATCCACAGACATATACATATAGTGGTGACAAATAAATGCAAGGAGTTGGATGTGCGTACACACACACACACACACACAGACTTGCTTAACAAATGATGGCACTTTAATTGCTGTGGCTGTTTATTTACCTATGTGTGTAATGGATGATCCTTCCTTTGCATGGCAGCCAATCAGAGTGAAGCAATTAGAAAATGGGCAAATTACTTACGAAATATTTTACACAGAAAAACATAATTTAGGCTTAAGGTTTTGCTCTTTAAATTTGAACATTTTAAAACATCCTTCATTGTTTTTTTCTGACAGTACGTCAGTAACAAGGAAGATTGGTCTTCTTCTTCACCATGCTCTCTCTGAGTGACTGATGGTATTGTCTCCAGTGACTGGTGGTTATTTTTGGGCCTGTTTGCTCAGCCAATGAGGCGCCCCCAGCGAACTAGACATACATCATTGTTCCACAGCCCTCAGGAAAGAAGTGACTTGTTGCTGACTGCTGTGCAGACTGAGCAACACATATATCCCAACAGTCTTTCTTTACTTGATATTAGTAATGAGCACCTGGTGTTTGGACTGCTGCCAAATGCAATTACTTAATTTTCAAGAAAATTGGGACTCACCGAGCAGTTATGGGGCAATTAGATAAATACCATGACCACCATTAAGTCACGTCTAATCCAACATAAAAAGAAACATGGAAACAAAATAAATGATAATTATTTTTTTTTTAAACAAACTTGTATTTTGTCTCGTTCTATTCATTACTGACTCCTGATTGTTTTTCTTTCTACAGCTGGTTGGAGGCAACAAGGTCATCTGCATATAAACTCCTGCTTCCATCAGTTCAGTGTCCTTCGTCAAGTTTAAGAGTCAGATGTTCCATCTTGTTGATAAACATCATCATCACCGACACGTGCATCAAACCACTAAAGACCTGGTCTCGTTGCTGGATCAGCGCGTTGCCATCAGTCTAACACAACAGGTGATATCTCTGCCCTCCCTGTGTTCTCCATGCTGTTTTCAGATAGGAGCTGGATTTGTGTTACAGTACTGTGGTGCCAGAGTCCTGGCTCTACATCAGCCAACAGCCACTGCACCGCTGATAACTGTAGGCCAGGCCAAGCCACTGGAAGAAGCTCTAAATCCACACCTGGTGTGGCTTACGTTGGCAGGAATGTGTTTACTTCTGCAGCTAAAAATCCGACTTTGGTAAATATGACAACATGGACCTCAACAGTTTAAGGAGACCTTCTTAATGTACCGTGCCAAAGGAGTTGCCTCAGTGTGCTGGGGCAAATAACTGTGAGGGGGCTACTGTGTTCATCAAAAGCAACACTAGATAAATAAATAGACAAGAGAAGAAAGGGAGACCCTAACGTACCAGAAGGGAAACGCGACTGACCTCAAACGAGCCAGCTTGCTTAAGTAGACGGTTTTCACATTTCTCCTTGTGTTCCTTCAGCCTGCTGTGCATTTGTTTAACGGACCGATATCAGGTTCTGTTTGATTTTTCTACACAGTCTGAGTGCCACTCTCATTCTTTTCTCTTTTTTTATTAAACCAGTTGTTTTGTTTGTCTGTTCCTATGACGAGTGATGTGCTTTATTGATCTTTTCTGGATTGCGTGGAAAAAAGTGTGACTAATCTAAACAAAATGAAGTGACTTAAAATACAAGATGAAATCAGAACATTTTCCACTGTAAATTAATCTGAGGTGGTGATAATTGCAGTATTGTAATGACTCAGCAGCTTAACAGTGTGTGAATTTAGTGGTTGGTGTGTGTGTGTGTGTGTGTGTGTGTGTGTGTGTGTGTGTGTGTGTGTGTGTGTGTGTGTGTGTGTGTGTGTGTGTGTGTGTGTGTGTGTGTGTGTGTTTTAGGCCCTGTCCACACGTAGCTGGGGATCTGCCAAAACGTAGATATTTTTCTACGTTTTGGCCTGTCATCCACACGAAAACGGAGTTTTTTCACATGAAAACGGATCTTTTTAAAAACTCCGGCCAAAGTGAAGATCTGCGTTTTTTCCGGTTGGGTGTCTGCGTGTGGACAGACAAAACCGGAGTTTTAAGGTCCGCAACGTCACTTTCCGCAACAAAAAAATGCTGACATCACGTGTCTGACCTGTGTTTACACTAGCCGACAGCATGTATGCCCTCAGAGCTGCGCTCGCTTTATCAATTGTCCAAGTGCTTTTTGCTTGTTTGTTTTTGCAAGCGGAATTACTGCTCCTTGCGGAAGACCACAGATGAAGGACGAGGTCAAGAATGGGGGAAGTACTGCTGCCTACAGGTCTGGCATGTCCTTAACAACGTATTTATCTGTGTACGTGTGGACAGTTATTTTGTTTTTTTTTAAACGAGGTGGTGTGGATGCAAGTTTTTGGAGGGGCGGATATTCGTTTTTAAAGAAACCCGGCTACGTGTGGACTAGGCCTTAGTCCTGTGCCCCCGGTTTTAACCCTGGGCCTGTTCCACAGTGTTTTGCAGTCATCAGACTGTTGCTGTTGTTCAAATAAAAGTTGTTTCACAATAAAAGATGCAACTTGTTTCCTTTAATTAGTACAACCAACATCAGCGCTCATACTGGTAAATGTGAGAGAACCAGTAAGTATTTTCACAAGATTAAAGTTTCACCACTGCTAATGGCAACTCAGACAGACTCAAAACACCCAAGAAAGTAATTCCTCCCGGTTTTCATGGTCTACCAATTCTCTCCTCTCTCTCTCTCTCTCTCTCTCTCTCTCTCTCTCATCTCTCTCTCTCTCTCTCTCTCTCTCTCTCTCTCTCTCTCTCTCTCTCTCTCTCTCTCTCTCTCCTCTCTCTCTCTCTCTCTCTCTCTCTCTCTCTCTCTCTCCTCTCTCTCTCTCTCTCTCTCTCTCCTCTCTCTCTCTCTCTCTCTCTCTCTCTCTCTCTCTCTCTCTCTCCTCTCTCTCTCCTCTCTCTCTCTCTCTCTCTCTCTCTCTCTCTCTCTCTCTCTCTCTCTCTCTCTCTCTCTCTCTCTCCTCTCTCTCTCTCTCTCTCTCTCTCTCTCCTCTCCTCTCTCTCTCTCTCTCATAAACTCAGCAGATGTTGCCCAGTTTTTCTTCCTGAGGCAACATGGGGGGATGGAAGGGAGGCACAGTGAGGCATGGAGGTGGAGGAAGGGTGGGAAGGGGTCCTGAAATGTGGCTGAGCATGTTTTAAAGTGCTCTTTGATGCAATCACAGCCTCTCCTGCATCCACCATGGTAACATTAGCTGAAACCAGAACTCGGGCATCTCGACGCTTTGTAGGCACTTCACACTGAATTCTGCTGCAGGCTTTGACAGTTGATTGAAGAGTTTCAGTTCAGTTGAAAGTCTTTCAGGAAAATCACTTGGTTTTTGCCAGTTGGCAAATCCGACTAAGTAGTGTCACACAGGAGCCAAAGTGGATAACTGCTTATATTGTAATATGACAGCTTTGTAACAACACATTTTGACATACACATTTGTATTTTTATTTTTTTTGTCTCATGACATGTTGCAAAATGCAACACAACAACAAAAAAAAACACAATGTGAATTTATAAATCTGGAATTTATTCTTGCGTGCTTTTTTTCCACAATGTTTCACATCATTCTGAATAAAATGCAAAAAGTTCTTTCATTAGACAGAACCTGGAGGTATTTGAGTCATTGATGGAGGCCATTATGGATGACCCATTCCACCCCCATCAGGACACCTTAGAGAGAACATGTAGGTCTCTAACAGATCTCATCAGCTATGTGGTCATGAAGGGGATTTTAGGAATTCATTTGAACGGTGTTCCTTTCTACTGAAAAAAACATGTGATTTGTGCAGAACTTAAATTTTCTTATCTATTTTAGATTTTTAATATAATGAATTTTGTATTTTATTAAGATCATTTGTCTCTATTGTACTACATTTCCAACTAAATTACTGTTATACTAATAGTTACTCTGTAAAATGTTCTGAGGTTTATTTTTACATTAATCATCCTAGTTTATGCAGTGCAATCCATTTATTAGAGAGGTTTTGGAATGTATTTTCTGTTGCAATAAAATATCTATCTGTCTGTCCGTCCGTCCGTCCGTCTCTCATATGCCTTCCTTCAAGCTAAAACAACCAAAACGCCCTTAGTGGCTGGCTGCAGTCAATGTTTTAAGTCCCACCCCCTCATTGTAAACGAATAAGAACATTAATTGACAAAAAAAATTAGAACATATCACAGATAATCTTATAAGGTTATGAGTCTTGTTGATTATTGCAGTTCCTACTGCTGCAATTTCAAATATTGTTTTGTATTAAGGTGAAATATTTCTGTGCTCAAAGAGGCAGAAACATTTGGGTGCTTACAATCACTCACACATGTTCGTGGGGATTATTGTCCCCACAAGTGCCAGAGCCTGACTGAGTATTTGCCTTTATTCTACTGAAAAAAGGTGGGGAAGTCACAAAAGTAAACATCTTGTCCTTTTTAAACCTCATAGGAAAACACAGACTTGGAAGATGTTTGATGAAACTAGATAAATAAAAGATGATTTAAACTGATGCCCACCATAAACTACTGAATAAGAAAATAAGGCCTTGGTAGAAAAGCTATGTGCTGCATGGTAAGGATGTTTTCTTGTGTTATTTTCATTTGTCCTAATGCAGATTTTATTTTAAAGAAGAGGGAAAGGTCAATTCACCTTTTACTATTTTTTGCATTGACAGAAAGATGGTATTTCAAGAGAAAGGCCTGCATCCATTGAAGTAATTCCCCTTTTCGGTATTCTATGGTCCGGCAACAGCAGCTTTTTCAAACCAGCTCCATCCTTTAACGTCCTAGCTGCACACAGGCCCACTCATCCACGTGAACTCTTCCCCTCTTTGCACCCTGCCACTCGGCGTCGGGCTCGTTGAAGAACATCGATGTGGAAGCCATCCGATTCCCGCCGCGTGTTTTCGGATAGTGTGCCATAAAATAATAATTAAGCATACCGCAACGAGCGTAAAGCGCGTGGGCCTTCAGGTGATGAGAACAGCTAAACACACAATACGGACCTGCTTGTCTTGATTCTGCTGAGCGGTAACCCGACCCGCTGTCGGCGTAAATCCCAGCTCTGCTCTGAGGCAGAGGTAATAGCCACTGGTGCTTTATAAGTTTATTTAAGGTAATGGAGACGCTTGTTTTGTTACAGCCTGTTCCGCCCTTCTCTTCAATGTTTCACCTTTGCTAAAATTCCTCGCTTGTTGATAAGTTGGTGGCTGCAAGGAGAAGTGAGAGGTCTGAGCGTTCACGGGAGACGCATGCGCTTTGTGTGGATTTTTCTGCGCATCCGTGCCGCCCGCGCGTTAGTTTGGGAGAGGAAGTGATTGGAGCAGGTGAGAGAGGCAGAGGAGGGCGAGAGAGGGAGGGAATGAGGCATGGATTTGTGCACTTAAACGCGGACAGACGCACACATTACAGCGTGGGAGCAGAACGCACTTGGAGCCGCACGCTGCGTCCTTTCCCTTCCTCACAGCACTGTGCGCTCTGGCCAAGCCGCACTGTTTGGAGACACTGCGGAAAGTTGTTCTTTCTCCGTCTCTGGAACGTACAGTTTGGAGCTGAATCTATTTTTTCATGAACTGGATTGTTTGGTTTTGCTTGTAAAGACCTTCAACAATTCCTCAGTCGGAGTGAACAGGTTTTTACTTTTTTCTGCCACAATGGAAGATAAATTAACGAGTCGTTGGTGGCGAGGATCACCGTATGGATCTTTCTTCAGGTAAAAGGCGCAATGACTTGAGCGTGAGCGGCTGGATTGAATGCCCACATCAGGATTGTAATACTTTTTTCGTTCATTTCCATTCAGATCAGCTCAAATCTGGAACCTTTGTCTAGATTTTCTACCCTGGAAAGCAGCTGATAGCTCGGCCGATTCTAATTAGCCGTAAATTGACAAAACTGCGACATTTTCCCAGCGGCACTTTGGGTTTTATTCACAAATTACCACCGCAACAGTCACGCACTGCAAAGGTTTGAGGAAGTGTCCTTTTCCTCACACTGTTTTGATTTATACTTTCAACAGAAGCTGCTTGGAGCGCATTCACACGCTTGTGGATGCACCCCCCCCCCCCTCCCCCTCACACACACAAATATACGCACCAAACACGCTCACTTTTTACACTTTGCTCACATTCATTAAGCACTTTCCAAGAGACCCGGATTAAAACAAGACGAGCTTTGCCTTCAGTGCAGCGGAAAAAGAAACAAACCAGCTTGGCAGAACTGGGATTATTCACTTGACATCTCCTGCTGAGAGTGGATTACTTCTGACGTGCTGCTCTCCCTGGTAAGTACAGTTTTAATATCGCCATAAATCTATCATCAAAAATATTAACTTCAGTTAGAAGATTATGTGGCTAGCTGGCGTAAAAGACGTGGTCACATGAGTGAAAGGTTGATCCCCAATTTTCACTCACTGATCAAGACCATTTCCGGTTCAGAAAACGACAAATTCTGCAGAAAAAATTGGCCCAAAATCAATTTGTGACATAAAAAACCCGCAAGTTTTGTATTCTATTGCTGTCTGAGCCTGTGTAATGTTCTTTGTGTTTCCTGCTGATCAAATCCTTGCTCCTGGCTCCCTCTCCTGGTTTTATGTAAACATCATAACAGGATAAAAAAAAACGTTTTCTTTCATTTTGAGTTAAGCGCCAGATAAAATTGGATTAATTAAGAGTCAATAATTTAAATATGTTTTAATTAAATTTTTTTCTAATTACGTTTTCAGAGATCCACCCCCCAAAAGGCAGGGGACTATTAGTGAAATGGCCTACATATGGTTAAAGGCAGATTTTACCCACACAATGGCATCACCTTTTATTGTTACTAAAACACGTGCAACCGGATAGCTTTTATATTCCATCAAAGAAAAGGAAAGCTACCACGTGCATATTTCTAAAGACATGTTTGCCCTTTTTTGTGTTTTAATGACGCCCAGCAGAAAATATCTACTCTGTTCCATGCTGAATCATTCTTTTAATATTTCTCCTGTTCTGATTGTTCTCTTCCGGAACTTTGTTCTGTTAGATACCACTTACGCAGGCAGAAATTTGCAGAGCAATCATCAGTCATCCAGCTGGTTTCTGTGGAGTTGCTGGGGTCAGATAGTTTCCAGGGGTCACAGAGCGCAGGATTTACGCACCTCTTTAGGAGTTCTTTGCTATATATATATATGTATATGTATATGTATATATATACATATACATATACATATACATATATATATGTATATATGTATATGTATATATATATGTATATATATATGTATATGTATATATATAGATATATAGATATATATATATATATATATATATATATATATATATATATATAGATATATATATATATAGATATATATATATATATAGATATAGATATATATATATATATAGATATATATATATATATATATATATAGATATATATATATATAGATATATATATATATATAGATATAGATATATATATATATATAGATATATATATATATATATATATATATATATATATATATATATATATATATATATATATAATGTATAGGTATATCCCAGATATGTAAAACCCAATAATGCTGTTTTTAATAATGAGTCATTGCCTTTCTCCACAAAATCATCTCCGACAGAACGCTGATTTCGGAAACGCAAAATTACTTTTCTCAGATATTTGTTGTTGAAATGCGTTTTTAGCTCGTGAAACCTCTCCAGACTCGATGTAAAAGTATACTGACCTTTGTGGGTTTTGTTTAATAAGACGCGAGCGGAACGTAACTTCAAGTAATTACCGAGGCTGAGCGCAAACTCAAAGCACGTGCTTGTGTGTGCGTGTGTTGCGTTAGGGTGTATTGAATTGATTTTATAACTTTTTTTTGTTTCGTTTTTATTTTTTGTTCACCCTGAAAATAAAAGTGCATGACAGACCTGCTCTGAAACCAACCGAAAGCCTGGCACCTCTGCTCAATAGAGGGGTAACATTTCCCTCTCAATAGATTTTATTTGTTTTTTATTTAAATTCTTCATCACAGCTGGGTCGTTATTATTTTTTTTATTTTTGCCTTTCTCACTTTGATGCTTGTAAAACAAGAAAATCTTCAGATTCATTTCATTTTATAAAGTTTAGGTCAACCATCCTCTTTTATAATCATCCTTAACAAAAGTAAAAGTTTAAATAGATTTCATTATTACTATAATTTTTGTCACACCTTTTTACTATTGACATCCAATGTAGTCAGTTTTTCACAATAAAGGAAATAAGCATCAGAATCCAAATAAGAATGCGTTATTTTTTAATCTTCAGGTTTTAGATAAACTTATTTAATTTGAACAAAAAAAAACACACAGCCTTCAGACCTACATGTCATTTCCACCTTTATGCATTTCTCTGAGAAAAGCTAAATGTCAGGAATGCATTTGGAGTTTCATTGAGCCTGCTTGGGCCGTGCATCAGTCAGTTTTGAGTTTCATCTTCAAACCATGTTCTGCTTTCTAGCCCCAATGCTTCAACTCTGCTTTCATTAATTCATAAAAAATGTGAGACTATTTCAATGAAAGCAAACAGGAAAAGTGACCATGTTCTCTGTTTGTTCTCAGATCAGTGGCAGTATGAACCTGGGACTCTCCTATGTTAGTCAGCCTGTTAGCTGGCTGTTTGGCAGCTTGCTGGACTCCAGAAACTGTGTGTATGTCCTCACACTCGTCGCACTCCTCATGCAGGTGGTGGCGGAGGCCAACTCCTGGTGGTATGTCTTCTTTTTGTCCCCAACCTTGTGCTTTTTAATAAGTTTCATGAAAAGGGAAAAAAAAGTGTTTGCATCTCTAATCCACACATTCTGTTTTAGCAGAACAGAATACAAAAATACCTGAAAACTGCTGCAAGATGTAAACTATAGAGTGTTCTTTGCTGAATTTAAGAGTTTTATGTGAGTTTTTTTCCACTAAGCCACCCTGACTGAAACCATCTCGAGTTTTCTTTCTTCACATATTCACACATAAAAATTCAGAACATTATAGAAAACACAGTGCTGTGAGTTATGAGTGTGCTGCCTTCATATAATGGAAATGGTCTTCTTTCTGTTGGGAAACTTTTCAAACTTTTTGAAGCTGACTCTAGAAAATAGGGGGGAAAAACCCCTTTAAGTTCAGTTTTTGCACTTTAATTTTTTGGGATTTTTTTTGTTCCTTTTAAAATAAGAATTCTTCAAGAAAATTTGAGGTTTTTCTTTCCTAGCTTTGCAGAGTGATGAAAGCTCATTTATAGGGTAAGTCCTGCTTTTATTTAAAATAAATGTTCAAATGTACATAAGATATTATAATGGGCTCAGCCCATTCAGATGCTACATTTAGATCCGATTACAAACGCTGCTGTAGACTCAAACATTACTGAAGGACTTTGGAGAAGTTGACTTTGGAGCTCTCGGCGTGTGTGTCTTTCAGTTTCCTCTCAGAGAGGAGACACAGGTGTGAATGATTTTGTGGTGGATGTTGACAGAGTATCAGTCTGCATATGTGTTTGAAGACTTTGTGTATGTAGATACTTTTTTTCTGTTATGTATTCCTTCAGCGTTCCCTGGGTTTCCTCAGTCGATCGGGTTACACTGGGGGCTAATTGTTTCTCTCTGGGGGCTCCAGAGATGAGCTCCTCTAATTGTCCTGTAGCCTGGAACCAGATGCTCATGCTAGGTTTTCTGTCTTTATTTTCTGACTTTGTTCCCCTTTTGCTCTTTTAAAGTCATAATTGATTTATTTTATTTTATTTATTGTTTTTACATTTTTTCCTCTTTTTCAATAGAACTTTAAATATGATCAGAATGTTCCCCTTAAAGTTTTGGTTGACAGTTTTTTTAAATGTGTATTTCTGATTACAGTATAATCAGTCACTCTGAGTTTTTCATGCAGGCTGAACATGAAAACAGTCTTCTACACCTATCCCCTGTGTTAGCAGCTGATAGAAAATAGATGGTGAAATGCTAGAATAAAAAAATTCTCACATATCTATGTCACACAGGAAATTAGCATTTATGGCCCCGCCCATCTTGACTCGCGCCCACCCACAAAAAGGCTTTAAAAAAAACTCTGTGAGGAGAGCGGGCAGAGAGTCTTTGTGACTTTGTCATACGGCGGAACGCGTTCTGATAATCAATCAGAAGTGAGGTGTGTGCATATCATTTTTTTAATGCGTAAACTTGCTGTTTACAGCCCACCTCCAGGTGTGTCATAGCTTTTTAATTTTTTATTTAATTTTTTATGACTCACAAGGCATTGATTTACACTAGAGAACACAGCAAATGTATTGAACAGATCTCCAAATCCAGGTTCACAGACTGAGACACCAGTGGGGGGGGGGGGGGGGGGGGTTAACCTAAAAAAAGGTTGTATGAGGAATAAAAACAGCTTAAAAGTGCTAAATCATGCAGCCTTTTGGTTGGGCTTTGGTAAACTTCTGTGCTGTTTTTGCTTCCTAAGACCATTTAAACGCGACTTTTTTCAACCTGCAGTTTTTACAGACTGGGCCAAGATTTAACTTTTCAAACCCAATCAAACAAAATCAAGTCCAGGTCATGACTGTGGCTGTTTTTGTTTCAGTAGCTCATGAGTGAAATTCTCCACCGCTTGTCTCGTCTGACTTAGGTCTCTAGCCATGAACCCAATTCTGATCCCCGAGGCCTACATTATCGGTGCCCAGCCTCTCTGCAGCACGCTGCCGGGCCTTTCTCCTGGCCAAAAGAAGTTGTGTCAGCTCTACCAGGACCACATGCAGTTCATCGGCGAAGGTGCCAAGATGGGGATCAGAGAGTGCCAGTATCAGTTCAGACATCGACGCTGGAACTGCAGCACTGTGGACAATTCTTCTGTCTTTGGTCGTGTCATACAAATAGGTAAGAATGGCAGGACAGATTTGGATTACACAGAAACCTGAAAGCTGAGGTGATAAAGTTAGCACGTTTCTTTTTACGCCTATGGCTGCGAGAGTGTACTGAGTTTTTATTCTCTGTGACCTCCTTTTGGTGTGTGTTGTGTATTTTTTTTTTCTTTTTGTGAAAAGTGTGTGTGAAATGTATGGAGCTGTAGATTCTCAGCAGCTGTGTGGAGGGAATGGTTGGTGAGGTTGCTGGATAAATCACATGTGGCTTTGGCATTCTAAACCAGCCTCTGACATGGAGCTGGAAGGAGGCAGAGAATCTGCTTTGCCCCTGATGAATGACACACACACACACACACACACACACACACACACACACACACACACACACACACACAATTGCTGTCTGCCTGCATTTAAACATAATGGGACTGCAGTGAATATAGGCTCCAGTATATGTGTGTGTGTGTCTTTTCAGGAAGTTTAGTTTTGTAGCCATTTGTTCAAACTGGATCACATTTATAGATCGGCTTGTTTTTTTTCCTAGTTCTCCATCATTTGCCACCACCTTCACAGTAATTTTAAAAGTTCTCAGTTTAATCGGTGGTTTCGACCAAGAGTTTTAATTAACATCTAAAATGTCACTGACATACTCTTTCTTTGATTCTGCTCAGCGTTTGTTGTGGTTCAACGTCTGGCAGAGATCAAACATCTCTGAAAGGCATCTTGTTCCTCCTGTGGACAGTCGCTTCGCACAAATTAGAATGGGGGGACTAAAAGAAGAACATGATTAACACGTGTCTATCTCTGATGTTTGATTTTAGCGCAGTTAAACAAAAGTTATTTATGTTTTGGGCTAAAACTATAATTTAAGGCTCTTCGTGCAGAATATTACCATCCAGTTCTTTCTTCAGCCGCTTTCAGGATGGGTTCTTGTTGGGGAAAAATCATTAAAAACCACTTTAGGGTTTGTGAATTAGAAAAAAAAATTGAGTTAATAGTTTAAAAAGTTTGCCTTCATCATAGTTTGATAAACCAGACTTTTCACTTTGTTCTTTAATTTCTCTCTGTTAAGTTACAAATTTAAATTTGGAAATAATTACTACAAAAGCAAAAAAATAATTTTTTGAAAAATAAATGTAACTGCAAATTCAATCATCTACAATATTAGCCGGAAATATATTGTTTGCGAATATGAAACAAGCGTAAGATTTGTACTAGTTCTATTTTGGTAACGGGCTGTTTTCTCTGCTGTAATTAATCTTTTTGATGAAGGGGCATAGAATAGCTGCTCAAAGAGTAAATCAGTGTGACCAACAGGAAATCTAAACGGTTCCCCGTGTCAGAAGGGAGGTTGTGATGTTGAGGGTTTTAACTGGATTCATTTGAAGTGGGCTGGTGGTGAAAATCAGATAAAAGCAGATGAAACGGGTTACCTAGGGTCGGTCAGTGGGATTGGTTTTCTGACTCTCCTGCCTGTCGCTGGATGCCGAAGGTTATGGTTTATTAGAGGATGTGCAGCAGCAGCAGCAATGTGGAACATTAGTTTGTCTGTCCACAGTTCTAATATTAGACCAATTTCCTCAAGTGGGATTAAAGCTGTGCTGTACTAATTAATCTCCTGATACTTGATAACTTCAGCTCCTGCCAGTTGCTTGTCAGGGCATCTTTAAATCCTTCAAAACAAATACTACTGTATTATTTTCAGATTCAAAATTTTCTGTCTTTTTCATGACCCACTCCATTTTTTTTGGCTCATGTTACTGTCATCCCAGCGCAGCCTCTAAAGCTGTATCCCAGCAGATCCATGTGAGTTATGTACTTTCATTGTGTAGCAGCCCTCGCCTTCAATCCCACCACACAGCCTCATAGTTTAGTCATCTGTTTCTTCTTAAATTGCTTATCTTCTCATCTAAGTTTTCCATGCTCGTCTGTGGCTTTCTGGAGTGACGGCGTGCACTGCCTGTGTGCATTTTTGTGCATTCTTGTGCTTTTTCTGCATGTCTCTCAAACTCCTGTCTCTGTAGAGAAAATGTTGAGCGTAAAAACCGTGGGAGTTGAGAAGCGGTGCCTCCCGGATCACTCCGTCATGACAGATAAAGCAAAAGAGTCTCTGTCTCTCAGAATTCGGGTGACACGGCAGTAGCTTGTTTAGAGGAACCTCCGTCACTGGAGGGCGCTCTGTTCTTTGTGGCTGAAGCCCAAAAACAGCAAACCCGGTTACACCGTTCAACATGTTGCTGATGACGAGCCTGCAGCACTTGGCTAGATTGCTCTGTAATCTGGAGTGTATAGTGATTGCTGTCAAATGACATCACATCTCCTAACACCACACACACTCCTAAAGCCAAATGACAGATATGTATTTATATGAAACAAGCTGAAACTTCAGACGTGTCAAACATATCGTGGCGCTCATATTTTTGTACCTACAGGCAGTCGAGAAACGGCGTTCACCTACGCCATCAGTGCAGCAGGGGTGGTGAACGCGGTGAGTCGCGCCTGCAAAGAAGGCGAGCTCTCTACCTGTGGATGCAGCCGTGCCCGGCGCCCCGCAGAACTTCCCAGAGATTGGCTGTGGGGAGGCTGTGGAGATAACCTGGAATATGGCTACAGGTTCTCCAGGGAGTTTGTGGATGCACGAGAGAGGGAGCAGACCGTTTTGAAAGGCTCACACGAGCACTTGCTGCAGCAGATGAATATTCACAACAATGAAGCAGGAAGGAGGGTAAGAAGCACTCATCGTTTTATGTCAACCAATGAGAAACAAGCAGTGTGGTGCAAGCCATGAGCGCTGAATGAAACCAACTTGTGTGGAGAAGAAGGCATGAGTTATTTTTTTTCTAATGTAAAATGATCCAGGTCAGTTGGGTCTCAGCTGATCATCTGTTTAGCAGCTCTGTTTGCTCTCTCCTCCTGCAGCTTTGATCTGTAAGGAAATTGAACAACTGGAGACAGTTCTGAGGTTTTTCTTTTCCAAACATCTTGAATCCACCTCAAAGGACACATAGTTCTAGATGGCTGTTGCCAGGTTGTTTCGTTTGAAGTAGAACAAATGAGTGGACAGCATTTATTTTTGATTGGAGACACAATCGGGTTCATTCTGCCCTCAGTAGTAAAGTGATTCCTCATGAGAGAATAATCCTCATGTTTGATGTTTTCACTGTTCACATTACAAAGAACATGCAACATGTTCTGCACTCTTTCATCATCTCGGCTAACTATCAAAACCTTGTTTTCCTCCTTATCTTTAAGATTGTGTCTGACCTTGCCGATGTGCAATGCAAGTGCCACGGCGTGTCCGGCTCTTGCAGCATGAAGACCTGCTGGCTGCAGCTGGCTGACTTTCGCAAGGTGGGTGATGCGCTGAAGGAGAAGTATGACAGCGCTGCAGCCATGAAGCTCAACACTCGTGGGAAACTGGTGCAGATGCACAGCAAGTTCAACCCTCCCACGAGTCACGATTTGGTGTACGTTGAACCCAGTCCAGACTACTGCTTGAAAAACCAAAGCACAGGCTCCTTGGGCACGGTGGGGCGTCTTTGCAACAAGACATCGGAGGGCATGGATGGGTGTGAGCTGATGTGCTGTGGCAGAGGTTATGACCAGTACAAGGCCCAGATAGTGGAACGCTGCCACTGCAAGTTCCACTGGTGCTGCTACGTCAAGTGCAAGCGCTGCACCAAAATCGTAGATCAATTTGTCTGCAAGTGAGAAGACCAGCTTTGTGGATGATAGATGTACATCTGTGTGAATTCATGGGCAGTGGAAAAAAGAGAATGGAAGAAACTATATAAATTATATTTATAGAGTTAAACAATTATGTCTTTGCAAAAAATGTCTTAAAAATACTTTAAAAAAACAAATACGTTTTAGAAACTGAGTATTGTGAAATATTTATTTTTGAGATTGGTATGTTTTTATTCTGGCCCAATCATTAGCTTATTATTATTTTATAAATCCTACAATTGCCCTAAACTGTCTAAAACGTCATCCCCACTTCATCCTTTTCTTAAAATGATTGAAAACGTTCATTTTTTTTATTTTAAAGATCTCATGCTGATGAATGCTGACTGCAACATTGAATGGTGCCTCCATGGTTTAACAAGATTTGTATGTTTCTTGGTTCCCTCTGAGGCCTTTATATGTTGTTTGGGAGGTGAATGCATGTGTGTTATGCTGAGAATGTGCTCCAGACCATCTCTACATCTCCTTCACTACATGTCCTGTAAAGGAAACTTTGGTTTGTGTGAATCCTTCAGTGAGATGGCTTTTTTATGTGGATTGGGCCATTTTAATAAGCAGTCCCATAAGACTTAGTGTTCCCCTGGTGCTGCAACAAGCCCTCCATTCTGCACTTTGATACACAGATTTTAGTCCATCTCTGTTATCCATTTATACATAGTCATTTTTCCCCGTATTAATTTACATTATCCATATAACAATATTTTACAGTACGTATCTTGGTTCAAATATATGGGCAACGTTGTGATGATGGTGAAATATCAGATGCTCTGTGTATATATTATAGCATAGTCTATCCAGCCAATCAATAAACTGTATTTATTTTTTTACAAAAATTTTCAAGCTTAAAGAAAGTGTTTTTTGTAACAGATTTGGTTTGTTCTTCAGTTTTCATGGTCACTTTTCATTATTTCAGATTCTCACTGTTGTGAATTTTCACTGTGTTTTGGTAAAAGGGAAATGCACCTTAATGTTCTGAAACAAAATCTTTCATTTTTACTGCTAACACAAATGTTATCAATGTTTTCTGCCACCACTTGGTTCACCTTACCCACTATCGCTGTGATGAGTCTTAAGACGGTTTCCACCAGTTCAACTGTATATTTATAAGCTTCTCTATGAATATGAGAATTGTGTTATAGCTGAGATTTTGTTACCTTTCATAAATTAGCTCAGTGCTCTTTCTTTCAATAAATATTAAATGAAAACTTACCAGACACATATTTCCTTAATGTTTCTTGAAATTGTGTGGTTTTGCTTTTATTTGTCTAAAATGATTAGCCCTATGCATAACTGCCTGTCAATCTCACAGAGAAAAACAATCCTTCTAAAATGATCAAAGTGCTTTAAAGACGTCTTCACCTAGAAACCATGTTTACTCGGGTTTTCATTCAGGCTGAACATGAAAATAGTCTCCTACATCTATCTCCTGCATTAGTTTCTGATGGGAAATAGATGGTGAAACTAGGATTTGACAAGCTTTCAGATCTACATCACACTGTCATTCACAGATTCACCCATCTTGATTCACAGCGGGGAATGGTTTAGCATCCAGGAAATGGCAGAGAACATCTTGGCTGTGGTAGAAACTGTTAGCAAAAGCAACTCCACCACACAGCAGAACTCCGCCAGGCTTGTGTTATTTGTGGAGATAAAACGTCAACTTTGCAGAGCAAACAGTCAATAATAGAGTTGCGGTCCAGTTAGCCAGTAAGAGGTGAGATGTCCAAATATGAAACTAGACTCCAAAATCTGTCATCTGAAGCAGCTTTCTCCTCTGGCTGAATTCTCTGTGCTGAAATAGGCACATATGAAGTTTCTCCTCTAGAGTACGACTTACAAGACATTCAATCCTACTTTTCACTTTTGCAAATGTATAAAAAAATGAGTGAATGACCTTTTTAAACATAAGAAGATTGATGATATTGATATACAGCACTGTACAAACATTTTGGCAGGTGTGAAAAAAGGCCGTAAAAGAATGTTTTTAGACATTTTAATAACGTCTGCAGCATTTTTTACACCTACCTAAAACTTTTGCACAGTACTGTGGGTTTGGCTATGCTAAACAAACATCTCTTGACTTCTCATTAAAAATCTCTTTACCCTGGAGTAGATTTAGTGACATTACAAAATCCTGGGTGCTTCAGGATGTGTGGAGAAAAAAGGCAAGATTTGGTTTGAGATCTTTGAAAAAAAGATCAAAGATTAGATGTCTAGCCGAAGGATGGTTGAGGTTGTTTAATGTGCTCCTCAAATGTCTGCTGACTGAGGATTGGTTGAGTTATTTAGATGAATCATTGCATTGTGTCAGGAGATAAATACTAGAAGAGCTTTCAGTCTGAGATAATTGAGATGTCTGAATGATGGCAGACAGCACAAGAAAGGATGTTTTTCAAGAAAAAGATAACTTGCGGATTACTGTTACAGCAAAAACACTGACTAATATTTATGCTCGTAAAGTGATACAGACGTAAGGAGCACATATGTGACCCTGTCAGTTAGTCCTGCTCCACAATTGCTCAATTTCTTTGTTCTATGTCTGCAAAACCACATATAGTGTTTGCATTTCTGATTTGTTGGCAAATTAAAAAAATAAAACCTGATAGGTTATCGTGTGGGGAGAAAGAATAATGTGGGCATAAAGGGGGGTTTAAAATAATCTCTGAAAAAGATTCAGCCCAGCAAGAGCATTTTTCAAATTCAACCCTGTCAACAGCTGGGTTTATTGGACCATCAGATCACTACATAGTATTGGATTGCTTTGGTACATCAAGGCTGAGTTATCCTGGAAGAATAAATGACTGGCTGACTTCATACCAGCAGAGCTTTTCTAGCTGCAACATAAACAAAAATCCAGGTGCACAGCTGGATGATCACAGCAGGAGGGGCAGGAACCGGAAACCTACAGGTACAACAAATGACAGTCAAAGAAAGAAGGACAGATACTTTCAAGCATTCAAACCCGATGCTCAGAAGTCTGATATTGGTAGGCCCCTTCAATCCTGCCCTCGTTCCTGCAAGTTTGACAGCTGATGTGGGTGACTGCATAAATATTTATACATCTGTCTTACAACACTTTTTCCAGCTGCGTTCACATGGTGAAACGGTATGGTTTTGATTTTGTGCACACATCTAAGCAGTCATTGTGGAAACCCTTCCTAGCCACAAATAGAGTAGCACACTCAAATTTGGGAACACATTGGCATTTTGGATACCTTAAAATACTCTTTTTTAATCTATTTAGTGTAATGTTGGATCGAGTAGTTCTGAATCATGAATTTGAAATGAAAATCCTTGAAGGACAGCTCGTTTGCTGGTGGATCGTTGTAAAATTGGTACACATGTTGAATGCACAATAACTTTAAACATCAATCAACAGCCATGGTGAAAAAAATAACAAAAAACAGTCCTTTATTTAGCAAATATTCACACAAAACATTTGCAGCAACATTCCAGGCACCTGAAGCCAGTTTGTGATGCTGGAAATAATCACTTACATTCCCCTGCCACCTGGTTTCTTGGGCCTTCCCTAAACTCTTCTTGCAGCTGGTCAGCCCATGTGACTGTAGGGATAAGGGTGACTTCACAGTGGGTGGTAGGTTAGAGCAGTGGTTCCCAAACTTATTTAGCCGCGCACCCCCTTCTATGTCCCGACCATGTCGACGCACCCCCCCCCCCCACACACACACACACACACACACACACATCGGGGCATGGCTCTATATATATATATATATATATATATATATATATATATATATATATATATATATATATATATATATCAGATATCAAGCTAAACAGACAGGGTTAAAAAAATTCCCCATCACTTTCATTTTTTAAGTAGTAATTAATAAACATTCAATACCATTACAAATTCCTTTGATTTAATATTAAATAAATATTTAGAGTGCCCAGGTAGCACATAAACAATGCAATTTAACGGTTTTCTTAAAGTAGGAACGTTTAACCTGTGCGGCCAGAGCGCTCTCCTTCCTTCTGCTCTGCGTAAACCTGAGCTGATCACCTACTTGTGCGTAATCAAATGTCAATAGGGGACAAGATATAGCCATGATGTTCACTTTTACCTCAGACCGACTTATTGCTGTTTTATGGTGAGGCTGAATCTGCGATCCGCTGCCATGCGGACTGGAATAACAAATGCTGCAGTAATAGGACTTGTGGTCAGGTTCATGAGGAGTCACTGGCTGGAGCGGACCCGACTCATCCCAGAAGCTAACATCTTAATTTGACCTTGAATGAAAAATAACCTCTTAAAAGTTTTTATCGTGGTGGAGGCAGCGTTCTTTTCTGCCTTCAGTCTGACTGAGCGCCGGAGTTAAAGCAGCGTGCGCGCTTATTGAATCTGTGTGTGCGGCACAGCCGCTCAAGTCACCGCGTCTCGTTATTGGCGCTATTTAAACTTCTGCCCAGCCCAGATGTGCTCACATGTGCACCCGTGAGCCGTGGTTCTGCTGGAAGGCGTCTGACCTCTGACAGATGCACTCTGAACTTCAGATCTTCAGCGCGCTGTTAATAGCCTGAATGGGAATCATTTCTTGTTATTTTGTTACATCCACAATGTTCTGTGTGTGAGGTTTACAACGTCAGAACACCTGCATGAGACAGGGTGTTAATTACAATCTGCCAGAATGACTCGCCACCTTCAGATTTCTTCAACACCGTTAAAAATGATCAAATACGGAACATATCGGCGTGCGCAGGCCAGAGTCCTGAAGCTCGACGCATTGTTATTATGAAGCTATGGCACATGTGGAGGACACGCGCGCGCAAAAATATACTTGTTTTCAATTACATTTATTGTGCCCACTTACTTTTTCTTTGGTCCACCCACAAATGAGTTTCTACAATAATGGTGACACATGACAGACTTCTCTGAGCTCCGCAGCCATTACACTTTTCACCTTGCGCACCCCCTAGCGGCAGCTCGCGCACCCCCAGGGGTTGCCGCACCACACTTTGGGAATCCCTGGGTTAGAGAGAGAGAGGGGTAGATGACTCAGGGCTTCAGCTGTGGTAACAGAGGAGCTTTGACTAAAGGCAAGGCTCTAGATTTACTCTAGTACAACCTTGAGGTTTGGATAATGACTAAAAATACAAAATCCTGAATACAAAAGGCTGAAATAAACCTGCACAGGTGGACATTGTTCAGCAAGCCTTTTTCACACCGAATGCGGAACAGATGTCCTCTTTATGTTTGGCTTCTGCATAGATCAAAAATGATTGAGTCCAATCAGAACATTCACTCCAGCTGCTGTGTGGTGTGGATCTGGATGCGGAGCACCAGAAAGTTTCCGCATGGAGTGTCTTTTTTCCAAAGGCCGCATTTTGATTGTCATGTAGTTACAGAAATTACATGAGCCAAGCAGGAAGTGAGACATGTTTCAGCGATGTGCATTCGGTAGATTTCAAAAATAAATCTTGTGTTGCATTAGTTTTTCTGGTTTTTGTTTTATTCTTAATTACAGGGATATCAGTTACTGTGTATGATAGTTCATGCTATTTCACAGGTACGTTTTTCAATGTGTCAAATTCCTAATCATTTGGTCCTGGAAATATCTGGAAATGTTCAGCACATGAATCACAGTTAGTAGGACTGGCACATCTGTCCATGAAGAAGCTGTCCAGAATTGAAACGCATCTGTTCCACACTCGGTGTAAAACCGGCTTTAGACATTAGGTGATGCACGATCGTCGGCATGGGCTTGAAGCTAAGGTCATTCACATAGAAGATTGACTAACTGAGGTGTTTGGGCATATGATTACAATGGCTCCTGGTCCCATCCGTCTGCATGGTGTACAGATACATGCCACTGGTAGAAATTCCACGAACAGACCCAGGATTCATGACAGATTGTATGTCCTTGCTAGCCTGGGAATGTCTTGAAATCTCCCGGTAGGATGTAGAGAAAGTTGCTGGAAGGTCTAGGTTCCCCTCTGAATCTACCTCCATGACAACACCTGATCTCATCTTTTCATTATTTTTTTCATTTCATTTCACTTTGTTTATAAAGCCCCTTCTGCAACCTTATTGCCCAAGGTGCTGAACAATACAAGAAGCAATAAGAAGCACACGTAAAACAGTTTAAAAACATCCATAAAAAAACATTAAACGCAATTAAAAGACCACATTAAATGCTGGACAATGAAGCCACGCTACAAACAACTTGTTGTACCACTAATAAATCCTTGCTGTTGACTTCAATTCAGTTCAATTCAATTTATTTAGAAAGTGCCAGATAACGACAAGAGTTGTCTAAAGGCACTTCATGAAGTAAACATTCCAATTGAGATCAGTTCATTGTGCCAATTAGATCAAATTAAAAAGTTTGCTTGTACTCACTCACTCACGCGCAAGCACACACACACACACACACACACACACACACACACACACACACACACACAACATGTATACCAAGTACTGTTTCTATGGCTGCATACATTGACATTTCTTAGTAGAGATTATATTTCTTAACAAAATAAACATTATTGACTTTCTCTGAGTGAATCTGTAATTAATTTAACAGGTGAACTAGTAGTAGCACATTCTATGTTAAAGTTAAAAGTTAATAAGTGTGTGTGTGTGTGTGTGTGTGTGTGTGTGTGTGTGTGTGTGTTGGTGGGTGGGTGGTCATGTCTCCTGTCTTCTTAACCCTTTATAGGACCAATGTCCATATTTAGATACTTCCATTCACATCATAAAAGATCTCGGTGTGCCTTTTTGCAATCTCTTAGAATTACGGGATTTCACCGAAATAATCATCAAAGATCGAGCTAGACAGTTTGTGCCATGACACCATTCCACCAATCAGTGCGGAGCTATAACGCGCCAAATTAAGGAGTGCAAGTGTTGCAAGTCCCAGCAGCCGGTCAAGGCTTAGAAACAGTGGTCAGAGACAAGGGTCACACAAGGGTCAAGAGGACAATAGTTCAGGACTTGCTGGTGAGGACAGAACTAGGCAAAGGGTCAAAAGACAGGCTGGCTTCTCTGGATCCACCCATGGGTCCACCCATGGGCCCGCCCCTAACTCCACCTCTGGCGGGAAAAGAAGGACTGGAATGGAGTGAAGAAAGTCCAACTGGACCCAGAAGTTCTCAGGAATGCTGAAGGAAGATCTACAATTTGCTACCAACATGAAGATTTATGGCCTGTGCTCCCTTTCCAGGAGTGCAACATGAACTTTTGTGCCCTCATGTGAATACTGCATGTAGTGAAAATGATACCAAATGTCTTATGTAGAGCTAAAAAAGTGTATTTGGTAAATGACCCCTTGACCTAAACTGTCAGGAGAGAATGACTTGTGACTCTTACATTGTTTAGAGCAGTCTCAGGAATGATATAAAAGGATGCAGCTCAGATCGGGCAGGGGGACTCTTGGAAGAAGAGACTTGGGAGCTGTTTTGGGGGAGATTCTGAGAAGACAGGAGCTAGTGTAAACTAACTCTTATTTAATCATTTTGAACTAATTCCTCCTTGGGGGATAGCAGTTGTTTTTTATTTACCCATTTTTGTATTTTGATTTTGTAATAAACCTTTTTTGAAAAAGAAACATAATCCTGATTCTTTCAGGTTTTCTCTAAAGCTTCACGTTTGGGGCCCTGGCCATAAATTGCACAGAGGTAAGCATGCCGATCATAGGTCTCTGAATTATCAGGACTTACTTTACAGTTTGTAATAGAATAATATAAAGAAACCTTAAGATAAGGGAAGTTTTAACTTCCCCCTCCTTGCGAGTAACGAGTTGTCTTAAGGGCGATAAAAACAGAATATTAGAGGTTATTTTGGCTCTGATTGCAGGTTGAAAAAGTCTCTAACAGCTGGAAGGTTGGATTAATAAATAAATTGATAAATTTATGATAGCCTGATCAACTAGCATAAATCATTTTATAGTTACCAACCTCCCACATAAGCTGTTAGAGGCGCAATTAATTCCGGGTAATCCAAACAATTGCTGAGAGGCTTGGCTTGCCTCCAGACTTCTCTCTAGTATCTTAACCAAAAGGTAACGAGTTTAAAAGAAGTGGAATACTCTGGGGCTGGCTATTCGTGCAAGTCATTTCACCTTTAAAATAAAAGACAAGATTCTAATTAGGTGGTCCAAACCCGGGTCTAGTACGATTAAACTCGCCGACACCCCCACTCGAACCCTGATGGATGCACCGTCTCATAAGTTCTAACGGAACTGGGTTTTAAAGGAACCGGTACATGGGACGGGCACGCAACATGGCGCAACAACGTGGGGCTACGGAGTGAAGGTCTAAATATTAGATACCGGGCTATCTGACGTAGAACTGTCTTTTAGGCTTATAAAAGCTTACGCACCATTGACCGGATATGCTTATAACCTTGGAGTGAAAACCGCACCAATTTCTCAAAAAGGAAAGAAATTTGGGAGAACGGACGATTAACTCAAAGAGGTATAAAGAAATCACGGCTTTCCGACGTAAGAAAAGCCAAGGATAAAAGCTAGGCAAAAAATAAAAAGAAATAAAGAATAAGAATAAAGAATAAGACGTGAAAACGAATAAAATAAAAATAAGAAAAACTTTTAACCAGCCATGGCAGATAGATCTTTCAGTATCCTGTAACCGGAGCTTTCAGAATGAGGCTGGAAAAGCTAGTATGGAGCTGCGGCGGGGCGCTGTCCGGGTGCTGAGGCACAAGTGAGATGCGATTAAACGTCATGGCTGGATCAAAATCTAGTGAAGGACTGATATGTAAGAATCTGTGTGACTTGGGCCTCGTTTCTGGTAACACGGGGAGGTATTTGTCACGAACTGTAAAGTAATCATGTTTCCTAGCTTCACAGAATCTCCTGTCGGGCATCGTTACGCGCAATGGAGCTGGAAGCCGGGCACATGCGTAATGTGTGGAACTCTGTGCTTAATTAAATGATCGGGGCTCCGGGAGAAGCCGTGCCGCCTGTAAAGGGGGACGGACTTATAACTGGGAGCATTGGCTCTCTGCTCCAATTAAAATTTGTTTTTGCAGGACCTGCTTGAGACGGGAACCCTGTATATTCTCCTGGAAAGTGTGTGAGTGCACCCATGGAGGCGTAAGCAGAGATGGGTGTTGCTTTATTTTAAAAAAAAAAGGTGTTTTTGTTGGTTTGAATGATCTTAGCCTGCAGATATGAGAAGAGACAGCTGAACAGAGAAAAAGCACTCAGTCAGCGAGCAACAAGTGACAAGCAGAATGTGCAGGATGTGGTGACATCACCCCTCCCCCTACTAGTTCTGTTGAGAAGGGAGAGTCCTGAACTAACAGCTCCGTATGATTCTGACCTGACAGACAGCTAAACTAATAAGGCGTAAGCATTTTTAACCTTGCCATATATGGTGTTGTTGGCAGGATCCATGTACACTGTTAAAAAAAATTCCGTTATAAAACGGAAAAAGTGCTGGTAATTAATTACCAGCACTTTTTCCGTTATTGTACGAGCACTTCCGTAAACCTTAAAACGGGTATTTCTGTAGATTTACCAGCACTTTTTCCGTTATTGTACGAGCACTTCCGTAAACCTTAAAACGGGTATTTCTGTAGATTTACCAGCACTTTTTCCGTTATTGTACGAGCACTTCCGTAAACCTTAAAACGGATATTTCTGTAAATTTACCCGAGTTTTTCTGTACCATTGACGGACATTTCCGTCAAACCGAAAATGGAAAATTCCGTATTTTCCATAAATTTCTGCGTTGTTGCAGACAATTCCGTAAACCCTATAAAAGATATTTCAGTAGATTTACCTGACTTTTTCTTTACCATTTACGGACAGTTCCATCAAACCTAAAATGGAATATTCCGTATTATTTAAGTACTCAATCCATACCATTTACGGACACTTCAGTCATCCTAAAATGTTTAATTCTGTACCATTCTCTATACCGTTTACCATCAATAAAGCACAAATGTTGAATCACAGCAATTATTTATTTCCTTTAATTTTACATACATAAACCTGCTGTTCTCTCAAAGAAGTGCAGCCATGTTGGGGAGATGCCAAATCTAGCAACTTTTTAGCATCCACAGGCTGACAGGCATTAATAACAACTTGTTTTGTTAAAGACAATGACAAAATAAGACAATAAAACTGCCAGCATTGCTGTTGCTGTCTCACCTGTCAGTGCAAAATGAGGAGGCCCCTCCAGGAGGATGCAGAAACCTACACCTCCAACTCCACATATCACACCGACAGGCAGAGCTTTGCAACCAGGGGCTGACCTTTCTACAAACAACAAATAGAACATTAGAAGTATTATATTATACAACTTTTCTATAAAACATCAGTGCAGCAATAACAACCATGACCTTAGAAGGATGACTGTGCAACATGCCATTAAGAGATTTTTAAAACTCTTAAAACAACTTAAAACAAAACAAAAAAAAAATTAAAACTTACACCTCCAACTCCACAATGACAGGAAAAGCTTAACCGGAATGACAAATATCACCCACCTTCCCTCCCCCTTAACATGGGGGATTTGAAACTGCAGCATGTGTGTTGTGTGCATAAAACATCTGAACTCACCTAATACTGTAAAAATCTGTATTTCGACTCCCAAACCCCATGTTTTTGGATTTGCCTGTGTGTGTGTGTGTGTGTGTGCGTGTGTGTGTGTGTGCGTGTGTGTGTGTGTGTGCGTGTGTGTGTGTGTACGCGTGTGTGTGTACGCGTGAGTGTGTACGCGTGAGTGTGTACGCGTGAGTGTGTACGCGTGTGTGTGTACGCGCGTGTGTGTGTGTGTGTGTGTGTGTGTGTGTACGTGTGTGTGTACATTCAGTCCAAAAAGGTATTTTCTGAGCTCTGAGAACAGCTCAAATGGCCCATTCAGATTCCTTCTGCTTGCATTCAAATTCCTTCAGCTGAGAAACCAGCTTGCACACCTGTGGAGGAATGAAGTGCCGTTTCTTCCCCTTCTTCTCTGCCTTGGAGCCTCGCTCAGGATTGACCCCAAAGAAAACTCTGAGGAAAAAAAAAAAAACAATAGTGATATGCAGACAAAGTTTGCACGTGTAGTGTGGCTTGACAGGAGTGGAGCAGTTCAATAAAATCCTACAATTGTTTTCTTCAATATGCCCCTATGTGTGAACCTCTCTATCATTCTAATTGACCATCTGTCTAGAACCCAATGTTGTTGTGGTGCTGGTGCCAGTGGCTAAGCTTATCTCTTCCTTTGTCTTTTCAAGACACATGCATTCACACTGCGCATATACAGAAATGTTTGCAAGAGCGAGAAGTCTGCTCATCACCAACACATGACAGCATGCATCCTCAATGTGTATGCAGGGATATTATAAATGCACAGAACACAGAAGGGGATAGAAAACACAGTTGACATTGTCCTATCAAAAGGTGTAACAGCACATTTGAACACGGACTGTCCTGGGGGTTATTCAGACATGGAGTGGAGAAACTGTCACATTCAGTGCATGTTACACATCAGTACAAGTATTAACATTTTGGCATGAATCCACTATGTCCACTATGGTCCCTGGAGCAACATATTTTGAGTTTGGGGTCTGCAGCCAAATAAATTTCAGTTTGTGTGTCTTTGACATGAAAAGGTTTGACCACCACTGACATAACCTGGTCTCAGGTGCTAATGGTTTTAAAGAGATAGCTCAAAAGAATTTTGTGTCAACAAACCATTCTGAAAAAAATATGTTTTTGCTCCATTTCCCAACTAGAATCATGTTATGTTTGTTTTGTTATTGACTGACTTAGGACACTATTTAAAGCAAGAAGCATGTTACCTGCCCTTTAAAAAGATATGACACATTTATTCCAACAATGGTCTTCAACAGGGAGCTACAAAATCTCCGAACAAATCCATATTCAGGGGGATCATAAGCCAATAACAGCTGATCTAAAAGCTCACAGCATGTGGCGACACATTTTGAGCTTGTACATCTCAGACAAACGGGTTTAGTGTAGATTGACAAAAAGCAGGTCAGGTGCAGAAAGGCACGGCAAAGTCACATTTACAAAGTATTTCCAAACAATGAGTGCTTACCTTTGCATGAATTCGAGAGTAAAAGCCATCTCCGGTGGGTATTGGACGTTGCAGACATAAAACATGGAGAAGACGTAGCTCAAGGCCACAATGGGAGAGGTGATGTGGTCATTGACAAGTAACCCATCAACAGCAATCTTGAATTGCTGGTCACCTTAAACACAGATAAAAACCATGTACGACTTACCAAAAAAAAAAAAAAATCCTACATTTTAAGGCAAGCAAAACATTTCTTTAATAAATATGACACAACAACAGCTTATAACAACAGCTAACAACAGCTTGCTGGGATACAAAAAAAGATTTAACTACAAACCTCTGATTAGGATGCATGGGGTCACTGGGAGTTCGACTTCAGGATCTGCAGAGATCTGTTTTGGTGACAGGCATGATACATGAATGAATGTTTCCAGTGCACACAAACCTGCTGGCAAATTGACTATCTGCTAGTGTCTTCATCAGACAGAGGTAGCCATTATGCACAAACATTAATGTAAATAGTTTATAGAGAATATCAGCAGCACAATTAGGGGAATCTATACTTCCTACTGTGGTTGGTTACTCGGTTCACCACTGGATGCAAATAATTATCTTGCACACAGTTTAAAATCTACAACATCTACCTCTTTTTTGTGGAAGAGTTTATAAGAGTCTTCCTTGAAGTATTTTGAAATGCCGCAGATGAGCTGTATTGGACCTTCGCCCGTCTTCATCCCTTTGTAGTCAAGGAAGTCACTGATCCCCTTTTCTTTTTTGGAAAGTTCCTGTTCAAGGTTCAAGGTGTTAATTTTGTACAAGTACATAAGACTAACACTCATTTTCGTTTGGAGCTATGGAGAGAATTTTGAAAAAAATTAAAATAACCTGTTCTGTTTTGATCTCAAATGTCCTGCTTTTTTGGTTGTCACTTCTTGATTTTTGGTCTCAAATCTATTCCATTTGATTGTTTATCCAAGTTATTCTATTTGATTGGTTGCCAGTTTATCTTTTTTGGTCTCAACTCTCTTTTTGGTTGCAAATCCGTTTTTGATTGATTAATAAAGACAAAATTCTCTCCATATGGAGCAGCACAGCACAATCATAATAATAACAATAACAACACACCTGTGCCAGCTTGTTTTGTACAGAGAAGCCAAGGAGTTTAGATGCATGATCAAACAGGTGAGGAACTTCAAACAGAAACGGCCACTCGTCCTTTACAACGGCAATAGTGGTATCATCATCGTTGAGGATTTCACGCTGAATGGGATATGTTTCAGTCATCAATTTTCGAACAGATGACTCCTAAAGATATGACAGATAGACAAACAGTCGAACAGTTAGTCAAACTAACCAATTAAAATAATAAAACAGGGTATCAATTTCAATTGACTATGGGCATAGTGATACAGACGATCTACAATTTCACAATGTGTCCTAAATTGTACTTGGACCCAGACCTCATCGCATTACTCCTGCTATATACTATTGCTGTGTGAATGGTTGTATGTCTAGATCAGGGATTCCCAAAGTGTGGTGCGCGCACCCCCAGCTGCCGCTAGGGGGTGCGCGAGGTGAAAAGTGTAATGGCTGCGGAGCTCAGAGAAGTCTGTCATATGTCACCATTATTGTAGAAACTCATTTGTGGGTGGGCCAAAGAAAAAGTAAGTGGGCACAATAAATGTAATTGAAAACAAGTACATTTTTGCACGCGCGTGTCCTCCACATGTGCTTCATAATAACAATGCGCCGAGCTTCAGCACTCTGGCCTGCGCACGCCGATATGTTCCGTCGCGCGCGCGCGCGCGCGTGTCCTCCACATGTGCCCTAGCTTCATAATAACAATGCGCCGAGCTTCAGCACTCTGGCCTGCGCACGCCGATATGTTCCGTATTTGATCATTTTTAACGGTGTTGGAGGAATCTGAAGGTGGCGAGTCATTCTGGCAGATTGTAATTAACACCTGTCTCATGCAGGTGTTCTGACGTTGTAAACCTCACACACAGAACATTGTGGATGTAACTAAATAACAAGAAATGATTCCCATTCAGGCTATTAACAGCGCGCTGAAGATCTGAAGTTCAGAGTGCGTCTGTCAGAGGTCAGACGTGTTCCGGCTGAACCACGGCTCACGGGTGCACAAGTGAGCACATCTGGGCTGGGCAGAAGTCATTTTACAACATTGGTTTAAATAGCGCGAGACGCGGTGACTTGAGCGGCTGTGCCGCGCGCACGTGCGCGCGCGCACACACACAGATTCAATAAGCGCACACGCTGCTTTACCTCCGGCCCGCTGTCAGACTGAAGGCAGAAATGAGTGCTGCCTCCACCGTGATAAAAACTTTTAAGAGGTTATTTTTCATTCAAGGTCAAATTAAGATATTAGCTTCTGGGATGAGTCGGGTCCGCTCCAGCCAGTGACTCCTCATGAACCTGACCACATCTCATGTTACTGCACTATTTGTTATTCCAGTCAGCGTGGCAGCGGATCGCAGATTCAGCCACACCATAAAACAGCAATAAGTCAGTCTGAGGTAAAAGTGAACATCATGGCTATATCTTGTCCCCTATAGACATTTGATTACGCACAAGTAGGTGATCAGCTCAGGTTTACGCAGAGCAGAAGGAAGGAGAGCGCTCTGGCCGCACAGGTTAAACGTTCCTACTTTAAGAAAACCGTTAGATTGCATGTTTATGTGCTATCTGGGCACTCTAAATATTTATTCAAAATGAAATCAAAGGAAATTGTAATGGTATCGAATGTTTATTAATTACTATTTAAAAAATGAAAGTGATGGGGAATTTTTTTAACCCTTTCTGTTTAGCTTGACATCTGAGATATATATATATATATATATAGCCATGCCCCGATGTGGGGGCTGGGGGGGGGGGGGTGCGTCGACATGGTCGGGACATAGAAAGGGGTGCGCGGCTAAATAAGTTTGGGAACCACTGGTCTAGATGGTGGACTGTAGGAACCGAATATCCCTTTGAGGATTAATAAAGCTTTCTGTGTCTGTAATGGATGATTGCAGACCCACCTGAAGATCCTGGGTTTGAAAGGCACGTTTCAACTCATCTCGTTTAGACAGCAGGTCTTCTCTACACATGGCCCCCTCAATGATTGGATCCCACGCAACACATCCATACAGATCTGAATTCCTGGGCCTTTTCTTTGTCGAATTTTCACCCCCTGCTTGCCTCTTCAGTGAGCTTAGTGGCCTCTTCATATTTTCAATTCTGTGTTCCAGCTGACGAAAGAGAGTTTCAGAACCATCTTTTGCAAAAGGTTTGTTTCCAAATGGCTCTGTCAGCTTGAAGGAGGCAGGATATTGTCCTACAATCATACTGGCGAGTTCCCTCAGCTTTTGTCTACCAGGTCTTCCTGGGTGTTTATGGAGGTAATCTTCAGCGACGATCCGAACCATCTCTCGTCTGTCTTTCCCCATTATGTACTTTTTTTTCACGCAACTCATCCATGACTTTTGAGGGAAATTTGTGCCATGGTACAGAATATGTGTCTTGGGATGGGGAGTCGGCTGTCTCAGGTGGTGTTGAGGGCAGCTGAAACCTCTGTGGTTCAGGTGTTGATGAGGGGCCAGGCCGGGTGAACTGCGGTGGAGTTTGTGAATCTATGGATGACATGACAAACATCTCCATAAATTAAACACATCACAGTTGTTGCAAATCAATTAATACATTGGTCCTCAATGTCCAGTTTGGGTCAACCAGGAATACAAATGGACCTAATTATGAAAACCAATTATAGAGAAATTATTGCCATGTACAGCTGATGGCACCTTTTTTTTGGCATTTTTGGAATAAACCCTTGTAGTTTCAGAAAACTTGCATTAAAACAGAGGGGCAAAAACTCACCTGCTTCCAATGCTTTGACAGCTCTGACGAATCTTTTGCACTGAATGAATGGCAGAGTGTCTTTAATGTCCTCCGGGTCCACAAGGCTCAGGTCATCTACAGAGAGAACTCCTAATTCCTCCAGTTTAGCCATGAGTGTATCCATCTTATCGCTACTGAGCGATGGCATTGCTTTCTTGACATAGTTTTTCACAAGTTCCATGTTGGTGTGTGTTTAAGAGGAATGAGCCACCGAGTACCTCTGTGGTAAGCATAAAGTGGATGATAATCAACAAGTTTGTTCAAATCATGGCAACTGAACAGGTCAGAAGCATTTTCATCAAGTTCATAGAGTCCAAGCTCAGGTATCCAGCTGGCAGTTTTCCCTCGAAGCAAAAGTAGGACAGTAGTTTCATTTTTTACAAAAATGCTTGCTATTTGTCCTAACTGCAGTAGTCCTTTTGCGTAGCTCAGTAAGACCAGCATTCCATTTGCATATTTAGTGCCTTTAACCTGCGCACTCTCTGTGACAACTGAGTTACTTGAGTTCAAATCAAATTCACCAACCACTGTCCTTATGTTCTGGTCATAGAGCTCTGGATAGAACCGTGTTGAGTCTGACACATGAACCTGGGAACGAAACAAGGTACCACAAGACTGATAAGCCTGAAGCAACTGGTGCCGTTCAGCCAGAGACTTGGTTACATTTATGAAGTTCTTACTTGCCCTAATGCACCTTTTAAAATAAGAATGTTTTGATTCAAAGCGCATTGTCCAAGTATATATGAGTGGGCCAAATTGTAAAGTCAAGTGTGCATAGTGAAGCAGATAGTGGTGTTTTGGTCTAAGTTGAACTCTTGGAAACAGCTCTTGCCTCAATTCCACATACAGTTCAATCAGTCCCTTCATGAAAGCAATCTGCAACTCTGAGAGCCGAGGTGCACAGACAAATTCAACAAGCTCCCTCAGAAGTAGTACAAGTCCCCATACTTCATTATCAGCATCTTCAATTGTGTCATGCACCAAAACAGGCAAGAATTTCAAAAGCCACCTGTTTTGGGCTGCATGTCCTCCAAGCCTGGCTCCTGTAGTGGGAATAGTGTTTAGCTTGTCGCTGCTTTCACCAGGAAATGATTTGATTCTTTCATTAAGAACCTCATAACTGAACCACTTTTGTGTTCTGATTAAGAACTGCAAAAACAATGCCAAATCATAATCTACTACCCCCTCAAACAGATCATGAGCTAAACAAGCTGGTAAGCCTGGCTGACACACATGAAAGTTGGACAGTTTGTTGAAAACACTGTCACATTTAACACCGTGATGAGTGTGTACTTCATTGTTACTTTCCAGAAACCGCACAGTCTCATTATGATCAGCTGGATTTCTATGAGTGAAAACTGTGAGAGGGTTAGACTGAAATTCACTTTTTGTTGCCAAACAGTATCTGCAGAAATATTGAGCTGTGCTGAAATTTTCTGTAAAGCCACCAATCATGTGGGAGCCCAGATTATCGCCCATTATGCACGCAACAGTGCCTTTATATATTTTTCCATTGAAAGATATGCCCCTTTCCTCCAGCTCACACAAGTCTGACACTAGCTTATTGAAAATCTTATCCATTCCAAAGTATTTGCAATCTTTCTCTACACAGAGTAATGCCAACTGTATCTGATCAACAGTTGATCGTTGGTGTGGATGAAAATTTCCAAGTGTGAAGTAGACAGCCAATACTTTATGCTTTGTCTTGGCAGATCCGAGTGGATTAGCCACCTCAAAAGCATCCTGAAAGAGCATTACCTTTAAACTGTCTGGGTCTGAGGAAAACATGGCATTGGATTTGATGGCCCACCCATCAGTGACATCACACAGTACATCATCTTCAGAATTAGAACTAGGACTGTGCTGATCTAAACCTTGCTGTTTCAGAATTACTTTGAGGGTTTCCAGTATTGGGATGTAATGATAGTGCCTCTTCTGGCCACTGTGATTGCGTCCAAGAAAGACTTCTACAGGTTCAACATAGTCATAGTGTGACTTGTAATATTTCAGCCTCTTGTGTTGCGTAGTTAAATGACCCTTTTCATGTAATGCCTTGTGCATAGGGCTCTGCTCGTATATACTATTCCCAAGAGATGTTACAGTCTCCTTTGGAACACCATACTGCCCCAGTTCACAGGCTAGTGCATCCACAGTATATTCCTGTTGAATATCACTTATAGTTCTCATTTCATTTGCTATTTCTGTTATTGTGGAGGCTGGAACCAAATATTTTGCCTGTAAACCCAAGTAAAACTGAGCAAGACTCTCTGTGAAGTTGTCTTTCACTTGATCACAGCAGAAATTATCACTTTGTTCTGCATCAATGTTAAAACTTTCAGGTTCTTCAGGTTCTACATGTGATATTTCACCTTTGAAAGACCGTTCTGTTAGTTCACATATATGAACTGGGGCTATCTTGGTAACATCCCACCCTTTATGGTATCTGGAAATATGCGTTAAAAAGGATGACTTTACATTGAATGTCTTAGAACATCCATCAAAGGGACATGTTACAGTCAAACCCTCATCTATGTGACCACTCAAATGACACTTTAAAGTTTTAAGATCATCATATTCACTGCTGCAAAAATTAAACAAGCACCTTAACTGTACAGACACATTACGGTTCCATGTTTGTGTGCTCCTTCTGTCTACATGAGCTCGTGACATATGCACAGCAAGGCTACTGTATGTGTTAAACTTCCTTCTGCAATCCCTATGGCCACATAAAAAAGACACATTATTATTATTTCTGTGTGTTCGGCAGTGTTTCAAGTAATCAGTCGAAGACCGAGCATTAAAGCCACAAATGTTACAAGTCAACATTTTTAAGAGATTGAATTTGCCAATTGAAGGATAGCCAGAATCAGAACAGAATCAATATGAAAACAATAAATTTATATCAGCACAGTTAAGCACATTCACTTTTCAGGTACCTTCAAATAAGTAATCTGCGTTGGGCTGCATGGGCCACTTTCCTTGGGCTTTAAATTTTTTCCTGCAAGGAAATCTGATTCTACTTAACTATCACCCCTTTTAATTATTACCATGTTCAGTTGCATGCTAACGTAACACGGCGAGCTATAACAATACACACACACACACACACACACACACACACACACACAAAGCGCGCGCATCCAATTTATGGGCTAACGCTAACTTTAGTTGGGCAAACCACGCTTCAAAATAACGCAAAACCCACACATTCAAATGTTACCATGAAACACACACGGCTACCAACTGACTATCGAGACCAAATTTCATGTAAGAGGGAGGGAAAAATGGTTTTTGACGTACTTACGAAGCGCAGGCGGCTGGCTAATGCTAATGCTAACGCAGCTAGCAGCAAACGTCCACTCACATACACACCACTTCCAACTGCCTATCGAGGCCAATTTAATGTACGAGAGGGAACAAGGTGGCACTCCGTTCTCATTCCACACAACCAACCTGTTTCCAACTTTCCTTGTGACTTGCAGAAATTTAGGTAGGCACTGACCGCACTGAAAGTAATGGCGTCGGAATATTCTGGCAGGGGGAGAAAATTCTGCTGTTGCGCATGCGCGTGCGCAACAGCAAACTTTCCGTATTTCGCAAAACGGAGCGAATCCGTAGCAAATCCACGGTAAAGGGACCCGTAAATTTACGGATTTTTTTAACAGTGTAGTGCTGTCAAGTAGGTTCATGGATGTGAAGTTTGTGGCACCCTGCATGGGAGCACGAGGACGCGCTTGTGGAAAGAAGGGGGGAAGGTGTAACAGTGTGAGCGTTCTGTCACAATGTCCCGATTGATAATGCGTCCCGGCCATTTGGCTAAGGGGATGTACCTTTGGCTGAGTGGTTAGAGCGTATGACTCCCACCCCGAAGGTCTCGGGATTGAATCCCGCCCGGGCCCTCATTTATCCACCTTGCCACACTTTATAGTTTTTAGCGTAAGCTTCCCACCAGCAGCTGCTAACAGAGTTAGCTTGTTGCTGTTCAGGTGTGTGAGGAGAATATTTGAAGCTCTGCAGTAAAAAATGTCTTCAGTCTGGAGGAAGAGAGTCTCTGCTTGAAGGAGGAGACTGAGATGTTCCAACCAGCAGCTAAGCTGACCAGATGGCAGTAGAAACTGGTGGAGAAGCAGGAACCCAGATCTGAACCCTCATGAACAAACATCTGGTTCTTCAGAGACTGAAGTGAGTGATGATGATGATGGTGTGTATCTGGATTCTGAGCTGTCAGACTCTGGGTCTGAGACTGGAGATGAAGTTGATCCAGAGGAGGAGGCAGCCCCACCCCAAAGAAGGCTGCTGCAGTCCCCTGGCTAGATTTTTCTCGCATGGGGGATGTTGCGAGTCCCCACATGCCAAAGACAGTGGCAAGTACGGGGTCAAAAGGTGAGCCACACTGGACTGGCTTGTGCGAGCAAAATCAGCCAGAAGACAGGAGCTGGGCTGCAGGTCAAAAAAAAGAAAAAAAAACTGTGGTCAGAAACAAGGGTCACACAAGGGTCACAGGGACAAGAGGACAGAACTGGGCGAAAGGTCAGGAGACTGACCCAACCTCTTTGCCCC